ATAAGTGTGTATTCAATTATTCTGTAAATTAATTATCGGCGATGAATCTACTGAGTATTTCTTCGAAATACTCATTCTACTATTTTAACAATATTTGCAGATTTCGGAGGCGAACGAGATTGATCCGGCAGTGGTGGCATAAAAGAATTTGATTATCGAAATTATTAAACTTCCGAATTTATGTATTGAAACATTGTTAACGTATTTTCATTTCCGCTATTCCAAAACATGATATTTAAATTTTGAACAATTATCCTATGTATTTTTCTTGCCGACGAAGTTTTCAACTGCAAATGTGATTTTAAAAATTAGATTATTTCCGCAAAATTGATTGTCAAAATTAGGGCAAAAGACGATGACGTGGCAATCCGGGTTAACAGAACTCGGGGCGCTACACATACCCTATATTATCTAAAATGGCACGAGATATACTAACAGTTCCAGTATCAACAGTGGCATCTGAGTCTGCTTTTAGTGCAGGTAACATGGTATTGGACGAAAGAAGATCTAGACTTAAAGAAGATATTTTGTAAACTCTCATATGCATGAAAGATTGGATATTCGTGGATCGAAGAATGCAAGATAAAATTATTGATAATGTTTTTGAAGACTTCAAAAATCTTATAGTTCCTGAAAATTGATTGGAAAATAAATATTAAAATATATAATTTTTGAACAATTAAATTATAATTAAGATTTAAGTACGTGTCAACCTAGTTGGAATGTACTTCAACTATAAATTATAATAAAAGTAGGTGTCACCTAATTGGGATGTACTTATACTATAAATATTTGATAATAGTCATTAGAAATGCAATTAGTTGTTATTTGTTTAAGTTAAATTTAACTTTGTAAAGTTATAAATAATTCATGTAACGCTAAATTTGAATTCTATGTAAACACTTCTCGGTATAAATATGAATTTATCATTTTGTTCAATTCTTAGTTTACATTTAACCAAATAAATATTTTTTGCTATAAATATGAAAAATTCTATATTTTTATTTATATAATAATACGGGCTAAATCGGAACAAACCACGACCCACATGGGCTCGATCCGGATGTGTCAGCGGACGAGCCTGTGTTGTAATCCAAAATTTGTGGGCCGACCCGGAACCCGCAGAGGGCGGGTTTTTTTCATACGGGCCGTTATCGGGCTCATATGTTGACGGGTCGACCCGACCTGGATTGACACCTCTAGTCCACTGTCGCATCAGTGTTTCGGATATGACAATATTGACTGCGGACCCACTAACCTTCTCCAATGCAGAATATACCGAATCGACCATGGCATCGAACAGGTTCACACAGTGGAGTGCGCTGTCATTTACTCCCACAGGATTGCCGGCAAAAAGAGCATGATTGAACGGTACATTAGTGGGATCTCCCGTACGTGCATAGAAGTTTTGTGCTTTTAGGGTGCGTTTGATTGTAAGGGTGGTAAAT